TGTATACTCAATAAATGTAGTTGAGACGGAATGTGTTAAAGCAGGGGCACTAAGGGACACTATAAACTGGTTAAAGATGGCAAACGCATAGTTTTTCTTGTGTTGTGAGATGAATTCCAGCCATTTTTTCTTAATTGTCGGGTTTCAAACTGACAAATAATTTCCACACGTCGGAAGTGAGAAAGCAAGATGTCTTTCATGAAAGAATACACAATGTTTTTATCTGCAACTATTCGTCTTTACATGAAAACAATTACAATTAAAAGTCAAGAATGTATGCATCGGAGAGCCTACTTAATAATTGAGTTCTACAGTTCTCCAGTTACACATATATAGAGCTTTGTTTGATGCATACCTTACGTATTGCGTAACCATAGCTGCAGTGGACAAAGTTCATAGTGGCGTGATTTATAAATAATTAATTCACAATCTGTCAAAATATTACTCATGAAAATTGAACTAAAAACATTAGCCTTGTCTGTGATTACTTCCCTGTTACAAATCAAAATTGAAACAGTTCAGAACAATCGGAATTGTAACAAATTGTAGAGACGTAATTATGGAACAAAACCTAATTTTAAAACAATGTTTCTAATTTACTTAAAACTAAACGTCAAGCAGCATATACCCCCCAAGGCCTAACATTTATGAAATATATAAATGCACAAACTCTTATATTATTTACGTTGCAATATTAAAAAATAATTCGTATATCAAGCAAGAAAAATGTTGACAAATTAGCCTACTTTGCAGTGTGTATGTTTGCGACTATTTAGCCGATCTGTCACAGATTCTAGAATAGTTGAAATCGAAACTTGAAAAGCCAACAAACCTTTTGTGTAGCCGGCTGCGAGTAGCTTAGCACCAGCATGATTCTTGACATACTTTGTCGGGGCTGTAGAGGTCTTTAATTCGCTCCGATCCTCTTGCATTTTGGAGAAAACTGACTCAGAAGTCAGCCTAAATTAAAGATCCTTCCTTCGAGACAAATTCGTTCTCTGAATAATTAACCACAATTTAACGCCCTCACAGTGCTACCACTTGGCAAGAAATTCACCCCCGGGAACAATTTTTAAGATATTGAATTTCTTTATTTTTTTCTATGTTTCTGCACCACTTTGCAGAATTACAGAATTGTAGAATATTTTAAATATATCTTTAAATAGAGATATATAAATGAAGTCTAATTTTCTCATTATTTTTAATTTTTTGTATATTTCTCATTTTACGGAAAGTTTTCACTCCGACGAAAAAGGATTATTCTCATTTTCAATGTGGAAGCATTCCAGGGGGATTTAAATTTTTTTTCAATGGCGGTCGCATTTCAAAAATATTTTTCAGCTTTTTCATTCATTTTGAGAAGTTCTTGGTCAAAGCAAGGTTCACCCACGCTGCCGTTGAGTTTTGCTCGTTATTATGCAAGTAAAAAAGGTAAAGTTTAGCATTTTTAGAGGGAATAAAATGGTGTTATTATTTTATTGTTATTTTAATATTTTTAATATGAGTTGACCTGTTGAGTATGGTATGCAAAATATGTGAGAATAGGTACCATTATACGTTAATTAATATCAGGATTTTGGCGTCTCACTCCATATAATTAATTGTTCAAGGGATGTGTCAAAAATGGAAAATTATGGTATTTACCAATACATTCAGAGTGTGCGCCAGACTGGAAAGTTTGGAAATTGCGCGCCGGAGATTTCAAAAATTTAATAGTAAATATATAGAAAGCATCAAAATTGCGCGCCGGAGATATCCACCGCGCGATACAAACTTTCCACACTGGAGTGTGCGCTGGGGGTCGTGAGTTCGAATCTCAGAGTGTGTGCAAATATTTTTCAATTTATGGGGCTTTGGTGGCGAAGTGGTTAGTGCACTCTCCTCTAAGGCCGCAGGTTCATGCCTCAGTGAGAACTTCAACAATGCGACTTGAACCCAGTCCTCATGTGAAAAGAGTAAAAGTCAACGTTCTACAAAAGCCGTGGGTGTTCTCCCGGTACTCCGGTTTCCTCCCACAGGGAGAGTTGACAGGGTGGGTTAGGTAAAAGGGCCCACAGTAATTGGCACATGCTGTTGTGGTGACCCTGCCCCAGTTGGCAAAGCTAATTAAAAATAAAAAAATACATTGGCATCATACACCTTAGTATTATACATGAACTTGCACTTCAAGCATCTCTCTGTAGCTCATTTGGTTAGAGCGATGCACCGGAATCGCAGGGCCAGAGGGCGTATAGTTATATTTTTTGCAACCGTTCCTGGTTAGGTGTAATAAATGTTTTTACTCATAATTTCCAACTGTCGTTTTTCAGGTCTGAAAAGAAAAAAGATATCCCAGGCATCATTTGATAGTGATGTTGCCGAGGGTGTGCTTGATATTGGGAAGCTATCAGACAACATGGAAACCGAAGTTAACAAACTTCGACAGGAATATCGAAACTGCATAACAACAAGAATATCACCAGGTATTTATAGATGTATATTGCTCAAATATGAGGTTTTGTGGATATTGATGTATATTGCTCAAATATGAGGTTCTGAAGCTAACTGCAATCCGTGTTCAGAAGGTCTCATGCATGCTTAAGTAAAGTAGAAAATTTCAAGAACTCCCTTTTCAAATGCCAGAACTCTGTTTTGAAATGCCAAAACTCCTTTTTCAAATGCCAGAACTCCATTTTCAAATGCCAGAACTCCGTTTTCAAATGCCAAAACTCCTTGTTCAAATGCCAAAACTCCTTTTTCAAATGCCAAAACTCAGTTTTCAAATACCAGAACTCCGTTTTCAAATGCCAGAACTCCCTTTTCAAAATGCCAATACTCAGTTTTCAAATGCCAGAACTCCTTTTTCAAATGTCAAAACTCAGTTTTCAAATGCCAAAACTCCTTTTTCAAATGCCAAAACTCAGTTTTCAAATGCCAGAACTCCGTTTTCAAATGCGAGAACTCCCTTTCCAAATGCCAAAACTCCTTTTTCAAATGCCAGAACTCCGTTTTCAAATGCCAGAACTCCGTTTTCAAATGCCAGAACTCCGTTTTCAAATGCCAGAACTCCCTTTTCAAAATGCCAATACTCAGTTTTCAAAAGCCAGAACTCCTTTTTCAAATGCCAAAACTCCTTTTTCAAATACCAGAATTCCGTTTTCAAATCCAGAACTCCCTTTTCAAAATGCCAATACTCAGTTTTCAAATGCCAAAACTCCTTTTTCAAATGCCAAAACTCCTTTTTCAAATGCCAAAACTCAGTTTACAAATGCCAAAACTTCTTTTTCAAATGCCAAAACTTCTTTTTCAAATGCCAAAACTCACTTTTCAAATGCGAGAACTCCGTTTTCAAATGCGAGAACTCCCTTTCCAAATGCCAAAACTCCTTTTTCAAATGCCAGAACTCCGTTTTCAAATGCCAGAACTCCGTTTTCAAATGCCAGAACTCCGTTTTCAAATGCCAGAACTCCCTTTTCAAAATGCCAATACTCAGTTTTCAAAAGCCAGAACTCCTTTTTCAAATGCCAAAACTCCTTTTTCAAATACCAGAATTCCGTTTTCAAATCCAGAACTCCCTTTTCAAAATGCCAATACTCAGTTTTCAAATGCCAAAACTCCTTTTTCAAATGCCAAAACTCCTTTTTCAAATGCCAAAACTCAGTTTACAAATGCCAAAACTTCTTTTTCAAATGCCAAAACTTCTTTTTCAAATGCCAAAACTCACTTTTCAAATGCGAGAACTCCGTTTTCAAATGCGAGAACTCCCTTTCCAAATGCCAAAACTCCTTTTTCAAATGCCAGAACTCCGTTTTCAAATGCCAGAACTCCGTTTTCAAATGCCAGAACTCCCTTTTCAAAATGCCAATACTCAGTTTTCAAATGCCAGACTCCGTTTTCAAAATGCCAGAACTCCATTTTCAAAAGCCAGAACTCCGTTTTCAAATGCCAGAACTCCCTTTTCAAATGCCAAAACTCCGTTTCATGGGCGGTACCTCAGCTGTATGCTAATAAAGTCAGATTTGTAAGTTTAACTATTATCTAAAAACCACTAGAACTAGCCACAACTACAAGAATAACGACAGTATATAATTTTTCAGCAATGTTTGATAATATAAAGTTGACAACTGGCAAACGTAAAGTTTCACTTGGAAACATTGCTGCGATTCAAAACAAGGATGACAAATATATACTGGATTTCACCTCATCACCAAATGTAAGCCAGCCTTTCATTAGTTTCTGAATATCTTGGCAAACACGTTCAGTTTTGTGATGGCAAGATACAAGTTTATAAACTCTTGATGTTTTGCTTAAAATACCTGGCCCAGAATACCACGATTTTGAGAATAATATAGAATACAACCCCCATGTTTGAAATACAATTTTCTGTGTGTTTTAGCTAACTAGTCCAGCCATGAGAGCATTAAATGAAAATTCAATTTTCAGTCCGTTATTGGAAGGGAATACCATCACAGTCACTGTACCTAGGTAAATATTTGTTTGTGATAATAAAACGCATGTTGTGGCACCAGGTAAAACGGAGAATTTAGACTTGAAAATCTTATTGGTGCAAACATCAAGTCAACATTGCAAGCATCAACATTGTAAGTATCAACATTGCAAGCATCAATATTGCAAACATCGATATTGCAAACATCAATATTGCAAACATCAATATTGCAAACATCAACATTGCAAGCATCAACATTGCAAACATCAATATTGCAAACATCAACATTGCAAACGTTAACATTATGGACATCAACATTCAACAATGCAAAGAACAAAAATTTGTCGTTGTTGAAGTTTTTCAATGTTCATTGTTGCGTGCTTTAATGTTAGATGTTGATTTCTGAAATTACAATAGTTGCAAAGTGTGCTGTTGAAATGTTGAAGAGTGGATTTGAATGGCCAATATTGATTGTTGAGTAGCAACATTGGTTGTTGAGTAGCAACATTGGTTGTTGATTAGTAACATAGATTTTTGGCGGCGATGGAACGCCATAGAGACATGCCAATCATCGTCCTGATCTATACTCGCAATGATCTTGTCTCCAGGTTAACAATGGAAGTGCGCGAGACTCTGGTGAAATCAGCCAAGGCGGTATGCGAGGAGGCAAAAATTGGAATACGCAGAGTTCGACAGAGAGGAATGAACGATGTTCGAAAGCAGAAGAAAGCTATCTCGCAAGATGACGCGAGAATGGTGGAAAATTATGTACGTTATGAGCTTTACCTACAAAATTCTGTGTTTTATTTAATTGAGGTCATCGATCTCGTAGCGATCCAGTGTTACTACAAGAGGAGACCTAAACTAACTTTATTTATACTGGATAGTTCTATCAGTTCTAAACTGTTCTCCCTAGAGGTCCAGTAAGGATCATCTCTTATTGATCCAGTGTTACTACAGGAGGAAATCTAAACTAACTTTATTTATACTGGATAGCTCTATCAGTTCTAAACTGTTCTCCCTAGAGGTCCAGTAAGGATCATCTCTTATTGATCCAGTGTTACTACAGGAGGAAACGTAAGTATATAGAAAACCTGCATTGTTTTGTGAAATCAAACTGGAAGCACGCTAACTTCTATAATGCAACTGAAATTGGACAGAGAGATGAACAACCACTGTGTCATCAACTCTCCTTACTCCATCGTTATATCTTCAGATTCAATCTCTGACTGACAACTATGTTGAGCAAGTTGATGAACTGTTGCAGGAAAAGTCGAAAGAATTATTGCAAAGATGACACGTAAAACGATGTTGAATTTGAACGTATTGTGAAATCAATATTAAACGGGGAAAGATATCATTTTAAGACAGCTTTCAACTAAGAAAATATTTTAATAGAATGTAGAAGTTGCTAAATAGTTATATATAGCTTTCAAACGAATAGCTTTCATTCCATGCACTTAAGTTTAAGATAGATTGGTATACGAGTCACTTGCATCTTTTAATATTAACTCAATGTGCAATAATCGTCCTTCAAAGTCATCCAAGCGTTCACGAATATCGTAGCTTGTATTCCCCTTGGATTTCCTGTAAAAGGAGTAAATATATTATTGAATTACATGTGTATTTAACACAAGAAAGTTATCAAATGTACAATATCGATAAGTTTCATTAAAAGTCGACTTGCCCTACACGTACAACCTTTGTCTTAAAACTGTGGCATGCAACCTGCTTACAACTTGAGTTGTACTGTGTAAATCAAGCATACAACTCGTCTATGTTGTCCTAGGTCTTACCATGATAATGTATCCTGCCTGCCATATTCTGTTGATGTTTTCTGTGACAGTTTCAGCCGTTTATTCAGATCGCTCTCTATTGCATAACGACGATACAATGACGAAGCGTTATCCTCCGAAATTTTTAACTGTCTTTGTAGAATTTTAACCGTCCGTAAAGATTTTTCTAGCTGCGATTTAATATCTTCATATCGTCTGAAAGGAAAGGAAATTGTTTTGTGTTTCCTGAAGGTGGACAAACCAAGAAACATTGTTTCCTAGCCATGTTTCCTGAAGGTGAACAGACCAGAAAACATTGTTTCCTAGCCATGTTTCTTGAAGGTGGACAAACCAGGAAACATTGTTTCCTAGCCATGTTTCCTGAATGTGGACAAACCTGGAAACATTGTTTCCTAGCCATGTTTCCTGAATGTGGACAAACCAGGAAACATTGTTTCCTAGCCATGTTTCCCGAGAGTAGACAAATCGGGAAACATTGTTTCCAAAACAATGGTTCCAAGTTTGCCTTGGAATGTTTACCTAATGTATTCTTCGTACTTTTCTTTATACTCATCTTTTTCATTGATGCATTGCTGCAGCGTCTTTTCCAATTCAATTCTGTGAGAAAACGGAATAATGTTAATTCTTGTATTTGGAAGCATAGAATTGAACTGGGATGTTTCGCTTGCTCTGTAAGGTATCAAAGCACCATTCGTACTGTAAGATAATCTTGAAGGGTTTGTGCCGGTGTTGGTAAAACTATTAATAATAAGAAAGCTTCGGAGTTCGGATTGATAGGGAGGGCCTTCGCTCGAAACTTCGAAGGTCTCCTTGTATTTTTCAGGCAGTTGTATCCCTGTCAATCAATGGGAAGTTTTCTACGAATAATGGTTTACAACTTACGTTATATCAGGAGGTGGATATTTCTTTTTACTTTGACACTTTCCCATTCTTGTGCAAGCGTTTGCGTTTTGATTGGCTGCGCAATGTCACTATGACGTGCGCCTCTTTTGTGACGTCATCAAATGTTATATTTTATATTGAGATCAGTTGGTCCTCAATAATATGCTTTACATGAAGTATTGCTTGGACACAAGTACATCCTCTGACCAAGAGAATTTGGCTTGCTCGTGGGCTCATTGTTTTGGAAATTGCTCGTTGATCTGTATATAAACACTGGATAGACTCGCTCGTTCCTTTTGTTCTGAACAGCGTTTATGGTGGGATATTTTTCCCAAAGAAAAGACAATCCATTTGAATCTGGGGAGAAAGAAGGCATTTAGATCCTTCAAAACATGTTTAGTATCTTAAAAAGACTCCTTTTCTTGCTGCTACTTGTCTTTCCCGCCGTTATTTTTATAACAAACGAAGGTACGTTGGCATTTTGGCGACCAAGTCACAGACTATAATTATTCATTGTGCTCAAACTTAAATTGTATTCCAACTCGTCCGATGATGTTTTAGGCATTTGGACTGATTTTATCAACACAGCGAAGCTGCAAAGGTTTCAAGTTGTACTAGTTGGAAAGAAAGTTGTGTTTGAATGAGTGTTTTATTCGTTCATATCGACTCGCCTTTGCAACACGTCAGCTTTGTGATGTTCATTTATGAACGACCTTTGTAGCGAGTTGTGCTTGGCAGTGATTACTATTTCATGACTGAGGACGTCTGGGTTAAGAATTCCATCAATTTTATATCTAGTGGTATTATTTTGGGAAGTTATTGGGTTAATTCTGGCTGGTGGCTGGATAAAAAATAGATACATTTAATATAGGCAGTAGATACTAGATAGTTACAATGTAATACATTGCAAAGGAGTTTGTATATATATTGGTCAACTTGTAACTTTTGTAGAGCATAGTAGGTAGGAGGGTTTAAATTTTTCACAGAGCAGTTGAATGCAGCTACCATCCAGATTGGAATGTTTGGAAATTGTGCACCCAAAATTTCAATAGTAGATCTGTAGAAAGAATCGATACTGATAACATAATACAATACCAATATAAATACTGTGCTGAGTGGTTTATATTACCACCTTAAAAAATAAGCAGAGACTCGACGTTTTGAGTGAAGGCCCTTCGTCAAGAGTTAGTAGCCAACATTAGTAGTTGACGAAGGGCCTCCGCTCAAAACGTCGAGTTTCTGCTTATTTTTTAAGGTAGTAATATAACCACTCGCCACAGCATTTTCACATTGGTACTACCCACACTGGTGCAGACAGTTTTAGTATACCAATATAAATACCCATTATTCAATGTTGAAATTTTCGATATATTGGAAAATCGATATTTTTCGTTATTGATATCACGTTTACGTTTGTATATGTAAACGTGATATCAAGCTTTTTCGAACGCTGTCAGTTGGAGTTATTTCAGAAGGACAAAGACGATCAATGTGCTAACTTTGTGCTAAATCTTTTCTGGAACGACCCAATAGTTTAAAGATAAGGAATTTCTGTTAAAATTTCATTGACATCTCAGGTTTGTTAGGTGTAGCGGCAGAAGAAGATGAGATAATTGATGATGATGGAGTTGAGGACCTTGATGCGGAAGGCGATGCCGATATCTCGGACGAGGATGAAGATGGGAAAGTGGAGTCTGAAGATGAACTAGGAGAGGAGCCTGATGGTCCACAAAGCACAGACGCCGACACTGTAAGCGATTTACACTTTGTGAACTTATGGACGCTAAACTCCAGGAGGCAGCTACTGAATGCATTATTTGTCTAAAAATCATATCAGATGCAACCATGATGGTTGAAAGTGGTGTTGAGTAGAACTTCTCATTTCCCATAGAAAAGTTAGCATGTTATTGCACTTAAATAACCTTTTTGTGAAGTTCACAACAACAATTTTTTAACCTGAAAGTTAAAAAATTATACTAGTAAAAATGTCTGGCATAGAACAGTCATACAATTAATTAACCAAGGAATTCTAATTAACTCATTAGGCTGGTGAGCAAGACGTGACGGAAGAGGAAGAACCTGAGATCCCAACCCTGACAGCATCACCAGATGCTGAAACAACCATATTGTTCACCAGTCATCCTGAACAAGGTATATTTTAGATATAAGTACAAAAGTTTGGAATACCCCCCCCGTAACTATGAAGTGTGGTTTGAAAGAGACAACTACCGGAAAAATACAAGCGGAACTTCAATGTTTCGAGAGAAGGCCCTTTGTCTCAAAACTTGCATCCTCTGTACTCTTAGGGGTGACATCAATATTCTATAGGCTCTGAACATTGTACACATTGCATTTTTCCATTTTAGAAATTGCTGCAGGAAGTATTGTAGATTGTCTCGTAGGATTTACAAACAATGGTAAAGCAGATTTCGTCATCGAAGCACTGGATGCTTCACTACGATATCCACAAGATTATTCCTATTTTATTCAAAATGTAAGTTTGTCTTTGAAGCCCATAATGTTAGCGAAGTCCACCAATATTGTCTGTTTACGTGTTCTTACTGTATTTTTGATAATTTAGTTCACCGCAAGGTCGCTAAATAGGCTTGTAAAACCTGGAGAGCAAGCAACCTTTGACTATGCATTCAAACCTCATGAAAACCTTGGAGGACGACCATTTGGAATTGTTGTAGCGCTCTATTACAAGGATGCTGAAGGCAAGGACTGGCTGGACTCGGTCTTCAACGAAACTGTCACATTCAAAGAACAGGATGAAGGGTTTGATGGTGAAACCTTTTTCCTTTATGTCTTTGTGGCCGCAATGGCAATTCTTATCATCATGGGAGCACAATATATTCTCTCGTCAATTGGAGTAAGTATATTGAGCCTTATAATTCCATGCCGCTGTGGTTTGTGTCTGCGCCGCACACTTTAAAACATAAAAGTTGTAACAAACCTGCAGCAGATTTGTAGCAATGCTGTTCCAACAACTTGTCAACAGGATGTGTTCGCACTGCTTGTTCCCAAGTTGTTACAAGTTGTTCCAACAACTTGTTCCAACAACTTGTTATCGTCCTGCAATTCAACAATTTGTCAACAAGTTGTGAGTGACAACCTTGTAATAACTTGGTAAAATAACAGCATCGTTACAACTTGTTGACAAGCTTGCTACAAGCCTGTTGCGAACACATCTTGTTGACAAGTTGCAAGATTTTTATGTGTGTTACTTGAGTCTGAAATCTTGCATAAAGTGTAATGACAGAGGATGGTCATATGTAAGTTCTTGCAATTAACATTTTGATGTTTTTGATATCTGTTTAGAAGAAGAAGCCAGGGAAGCCTTACGTTGAGATGGGAACGCAACAGAAATCTGATGTCGATATTGATTGGCTGCCTAAAGAAACCACAACTGAATTTGGTACGACTCTTGACTTGTGGAAACTAGGGGCACAGAATACTACACAGAAGTCCATCTCTATTGTTTTGTTGCATAAGCGCTATTCGTCACTCGGCAAGTACCGTAAACAGAAGCAGTCCCCTCCTAGAAATACTCAAAATGGTGCACATCCAGGGGGGTGACTGCTTCTGTTTACAGTACTTGCTGAGTGATGAATCTTCTGTGTAGTATTCTGTGCTATGGGGTTTGGTAAAATCAAACTGAAACATATTTTTTTTGAGAATGTGACTAAGCCTAAATTATCATGAGATGACTGCATATTGTAGGAATGAAGCCGGGTCACACATCATTTAACAACATCCCCAACTAATCCATTCATTTATCTCTAGGTAAAAATTCCCCTCGTCGCTCACCACGTAATCGACGACAGAAAAGAAACCCAGGCGCTGGCGAAGACTAAATGTACACGTTGTTGGAGAATTCAAGGCTTTCACATGCTGCTAGAACAATCTGACCATGAAACCTTGATACTGGGAGAATTAGAATTTACAAGAAATGGATTTCATCCCCGTCCGTGTGGTGTTTATAAATAAATTTTCACGCGCACACGAAAATTAGATTCTTTTGCAAGGGATTAACTTATGAATTTTAACAATCTTTTTTGCTGGCAAATTTTACTTTTTTCACAGTATACTGTAGATTTTACATGTGAATGCAGAGTGTTTTAGAATATTTACAGGTTTTTGGCATATTAAATGTATGTCAGAATATTTTTTTGAAAGCTTTTTAATTTTTTGCTGGCTACACTGTAAGATTTTGCCCCTCGATGGAAAAGTTGTGGTAACAGTGTTCCTAGCCATTCTTACTTGCAGTTGCCATGTAACCCAACAAGGTGGAGGGGTCATTTTTTTGAGGGGAATAAAACTGTAGATGAGAACTGGTAAACACATCGTCCAGTTCACTTGCGAGGTCAGTGAGAAAGGTCGACGCAGTAATCCAGTTAACTTGCAAGATCAGTGAGAACTCCAATCCAGATCATTAGAGGTCAGTGAAAAGAACACTTCAATCCAGTTCACTTGAGAGGTCCGTGAGAAGAACTGATCAATCCAGTTCACTTACGAGGTCGGTGTTAAAAATATTTTCGTGATGACTCGCGCGGAAGCCACGCAAGTTTGTTTACCATATTCACATGGTGATACCAGAATGGTGATTTTGTTGTACATTGTTTTAAAGTGAAAATATAACTGTTATTAAAAAGAAGAAAAGGTGTACTGTCGAAACTACTTACACGCGAAATGGCTGTCTAAATATGAAGCTTTCCTTGGCGCTGCTAAATATTTGTAAACTGATATAGACTATAATATAGTCCATATGGCACTTGAACTTTGATTTATGTGCTTAAAAATGTTTATTGTTTTATCTTGGTAAGTTTTGACATTATTTTCTATATATTTATTGTGTAAGATATTAAATTGTCTTTGGTGTATTACTGTGTGCACGCTGTATGTAAAAAACCCCGTAAAATTCTGAAAAGCAAATGAGCAGTTGGCTATATAAAAGTTGGAATGCACCTAGCCACCTATGGTGGTCTGGTTTTCAGAGTGAGAAAATAGTTCCTTTCATTATATGTCTTGTATTTTGAACAAACTATCCTTGTCCATGGTTCATCTAGATGATTGTGAATATTTCTAGAAAAACTTAGCTATTTTCCTTAGTTTGTCTTGCCTTAAATTATAATAGATTATGTCAGTTGGTGTTCCCATATACCGAAGGATCCTTTATGGTTCCCCTGCTTTTACTGAAAGAGAAGAGAAAAGAGCGACAAGTGCGAGAGAACGAGAGCAGTCCATTGAGCCATGTCACTCCTCAGCAAAAGATACAAATCCAAGAACATTGCCATCTGAAGGGTGGGAATCCACCAGACACACTTTGTCTGCTCTTTCAATTCATGTAAGCTACATTTGAAGAAAGTATTATATTAGACAGTATGTGGTTTAACCCATTGAGCCGCAATGCGCCCCAGTGCACCCTACCGGTACTTTTTTTATACTTATCTAACGCCAGACGATTTTACTTGTCAGTGGGGAAGCTCTGAAGCTTAATGGGTTAAAGTATATTTTATGTAAATGTTCAGTAAAATATCACAAATGTCTTTTTTAGAAAGGAAGTGAGATCATTCCACGAGCTGTGAGGTACTGCTAGATGTTATATTTTGAAGCTCGCAAAATCGGCAACATCCCATAGCTCAAATGCACTGCACATTACAAGACACAGCACCTTCAACATATAATTAAGTTCTGAAAATGTTATACAAGTTGCTTTTCTTGTGTTTCACAGTGTACATGACCTTACATGGTGTCTTTAGGCTTATTATTGAAAAAGTAAGAGGCATAGCGAGTGTGACATCATTGTCTTAATTTGCTGACAAAATGGGTGTAGTTTTGCTGTAGTTGGGGGCATGGTGTTACCAGCTATGGGAATAATTGTGAGCATTGACATTCCTTTGATTGTTACAATATAGTGCACCTGCTGTATACGCTACTACTAAATCCGCAAAAAAGCAATGTCCGCAATCCGAAAGGTGGAAGGAACGAAAACAGAATCTCACTCATTCAAGGACGGTCAAGAAAAAATCAAATGTGAGTTTGTGAATTTGTAGAAGTTAAATTGCTCCTTTAGCCCATTGAGTGTCAGCTCTCCCTCTTGATGAGTAAAATCATCTGGTGTTAGACAGAGTAAAACAACAAAGTAGTGTCCAATGTATTGATGCAAGTTAGTGGGTTAATGCACAATTTGGCTTAGAGTGAGCTGGAATAACACACAAATCTTATTCTGTGATTTCTTTAATAGATCATTGCTCATCGTCAAGATAATGGATACTACATTGCAGGTTCCAAATTGCCTCTTGTTGATAGGTCAGTAAGTTATTGAAGCCCTGCAGTCACATGACCCACCGATGTTTCATTCCCAGCAAAAACATTTTTTGTCGGTAAAAGTAGGCACACCCCAGCTCCAAATTTAACATAACCCTCTTCATAATTATGCAGAATTACCATTTTAACCTTTTGCTAGATATGACATTGATGAGGATGAATTGATCAAATTACGCATGTTGGCTCACAGTAGAGCTGAGAAAAGTACCAGAGCCAGTTCAGTAAATAGCTCTGTCATGAGGTAAGATACTGCATATGACAGCTATTCATAATATGCTATTAGTAGTTATATATGTTTGCTATTAATAATTGTTTTCATTATTAGGGGACGTGCAGTTAGCCCTGGAATGAGTCCAAGTGGACAAAATTCCAGTCCTGTGCCACCGACTTTCGCTGTGGAAGCAGAAAAGGTATATGCTGTAATGGATTTGATCTCAATAATTTTTGGACTTTTACATGTAATACAGTGAACCCTCTATAAGAAGAAATTTCAATTACCATTCAAAAATTTACAATGAGAAAAAAATATAGTGTAACACAAATTATGGTAAAAAGCCAACTAAAATAGTCTTAAAGAAACTAGCCTGGTTAGTTGGCTCCATCTATAACAGACAGTTCTCCAAACGACAGCACTTTTCTGAGACTGGGTATAAATTGAAAATATGCAAGTAAAAACTATGTACCCTAATACTCGTATAGTATAATTGCACAGTTCTGTAATTATCATATAAATTTTTAAAAACTATAACCTTCATCCAAATACCTAGAACGTATCGTTGGTCCCAAGGTCTCGTTTTATGGGTGTTTTGTTGTCCATAACACTTTGTTTATTTTTGAACAGAGAAAGAAGATTCTAGAGAGACGCAGCCAGATGAAAGATGATCGAGAAATACGGAAAGAAATGAGACGAGAACAACAACGAGAGAAATTGAAACGGTTTGAAGAAAAACAGGAATTTGAAAAGCAAATGGAAGAAAAATATAAACCGAAAAAACCCGAGAAGAGAAGGTAGTGTGGACCATTTATTCACAAAGAAATAACCGTTTTGTCAAATATGTATATATACAGACGTAAAAACGCACAACTTGTAACAAACGCGCAGCAGACTTGTAGCAATGTTGTTCCAACAACTTGTCAACAGGATGTGTTCGCACTGCTTGTTCCCAGCTTGTTGGTAACTTGTCAACGGCTTGTTGGTAATTAACTTGCTACAAGGTTGTTGAGCTCAACAGACTTGTTACAAGTTGTTCCAACAACTTGTTATCGTCCTGCAATTCAACAATTTGTCAACAAGTTGTGAGTGACAACCTTGTAGCAACTTGATAAAATAACAGCATTGTTACAACTTATAATAGTTTTGTTTGTGGAAACACCACGTAAATTTATTACTGCATCCATACAAAGAACTTATTGTTACAACTTGTTGACAAGCTTGCTACAAGCCTGTTGCGAACACATCTTGTTGACAAGTTCTGAGATTTTTACGTGTGTAAAAGTGAAGTACAAGGAGCAACAGAATTGCTGCGACTTGTGAAAAGGACTTCAATGGTATCGTCCCGAAGCGTATCTCTTTGTTTCCTGAGCGCTAGAGTGGAAGTAATGACTTCGTGACAAAACAGGTTAAGGTGGAAGACACGTTTAACTGATCATAACATTTCTTTTAGCTTGATTTTCCTCACGGAGCAGAGTGACGATGAAAGGAAACAGAATCAACGGTAAGATTGGAAAAATATTTAATAAAAAAATTGTCACAAAGTAAAAGTAACGCAAAAATTCAAATTAATGTACAAAAAGGCAAAAATGGATTTTAATCTATTTTCCAGGGTATTTTTGACAGAAAGTGACTTCATGATAGACGAAGAAGAGCAGGTCAGATTTATTCTACTTAAGGGTTGTTCATATGGAGCAGGGCTAACCCGGGATGATTCGTTTAATGAAACTCTTATCGCGGCTTTCATAAACATTCAAAATAACATTTCAAAGTTGAATTAGCTAAGTTTGATTAAAGCATAGTTGGAAACACCACGTAAATTTATTACTGTAAATTTATTAATTTATTATTTATTACTATGATTCCAGTAACCAAATGCTTCATTCTTCTCTGTATAGGGTTCAACTTATTCCTTCGTCAACGAGAAACAACGTTTGGCGTTCAGTAGTATATTCAATGAAATGGATAAGAACCAAGATGGTAGAATAGATATAAACGAACTTAAACAAAATCTTTTTCCTCTGGCGTCCAAAAACAACCTTAAACATTTGCTTCAGGTATACAGATACTACGATGATGCTTTTGGAAACGTGCACCATACAATATAACACTGTTGTTTTTGTACTGTATAGTGAATATATGCATCTAATATGTTATCCATAATTTGTAACTTTTAGGTTTTCGACTTAAACAAAGATCATATGGTGGAGATGAGAGAATTTATTACAATATGTGCTTTGAACGATCAACTTTGTGGCACGAGGTAACGTATGATTGCTTAATGAATTAATCCACTTTGAGTTCTGGGACCGATTGTTCAAAACTGCGCTAGCTTATCCTCAGGGGCGCTAATCCAGCTTTGATCAACCGACCCCTGGTTTCTGAACCATCATAATCATGTTTGTTGTTTTGATCAGTTTTATAATTTGGTTGTGTTTTGTAGAACTGAGAGTGGAACAACATCACTCGCACTCGACCTGGAAAGATTGGCTCAGCATATAACTATATATAAGGTACGTCCCAAAGTCCTTTAAAAAATGGGTAGTTAAAAATAAGTACTATTTACAATATGAGATGTGAAACGTTTTGATGAGAACATTGATTTCGTATTCTTCAACAATTTAAAATAAATAAATGAATGATATCTATATGTGGCGAGATGTTACATCAGCAGGAATTTGTTCATGTATCAGAATACAAACTCCTTTACAGCCATAATTTCTTTTGTGTTTTCATAAATTATTAATGAGTTTCACAAGTCTTTTATACAACTGGTTCAACGAGAACGCAAAGTGAAATTGTTCGATTTCACTCGACCCCCGTTGTGAACGGAGTCTATAAAATCCTCTCAAGTCGTGATTGGTTTGTTTGATGTGTTTAAACTTTTGTAGGAGTTATTTGATGTTATTGACGAAGATCGTGATGGTCATATCCAGACGGATGAAATATTTCTCATGATAACAACAGCTGTGACAGGAGACGAGAGAGTTGATGAAGATGAAGCGAGAAGAGTTTTGGACAACATGGAGAAAGACGAAAAAGGTAAGACAGTCTCGATAGTTTGCTGGTGATGGTAGCGTGGTGGTAATTATTCTGTTGATGGTAATGGTGGGGATGGTTATTTTTGTTGTGGTGATGATGGTAGTGTGGTGGTAATTATTCTGTTGATGATAATGGTGGCGATGGTTATTTTTGTTGTGGCGATGGTATAATGTGGTGGTAATTATTCTGTTGATGATGGTGGTTATTATTTTGTGGTGATGATGGTAAGGAAGGTAGTCAAGTGTGATGGTAATTATTCTGTTGATGATAATGGCAGCGATGATTATTTTTGTTGTGGTGTGGTAATGCTGGTAGTGTGGTGGTAATGATGGTATATTATGGTGGTAATTATTCTGTTGATGATGGTGGTTAATACTGGTTATTTTTGTTGTGGTGATGATGGTACGGTAGTGTGGTGGTAAGTAGATCGAACTGATAGAGCCATTCAGTATAAATAAAGTCAGTGTAGTTCTAAGTTTAAACATTTCAAGTGTTCAAAATGTTAACGTAGTGTTTTCGTTTTAGGTTATATTGATTTCACGTCGTTCATGTCCTACATCCCTTTCTTTGCCAAACTCCTTCAAGTTATTATGGATTCTCCACTCTCGATCAAAAATCTCGAGCAAGCACGTGACAGAGTGATCAGAAAATATTCAAGCAACCCGGATGAAACAATGTGAAGGTACTGATATGCAGGGATATGGTCAGTCAGGTATAATATCTGTAGTTGTGGTCATAAGCGCTAAAGTGCTATGCATATGTGTGGGGGTTAGAACACATATTCGAAACGATGTCTGGCGTCTATCCTCCGATGAAACGTTTTCCGAAACTGTGACGCACGCGAACAATATGGTAACCTGCGTGGCAGGCTCAAGGACGCAGGCTAACAATATGGCAAAGCAGGCACACGGTGTTTAAACATTTTTGCGGAGAGGAGACAGGTTTTTGGAGACTTTGTTCAAGACTCAAATAAAGTGAGGTTTCTCCTTTCGTATCGCCGAAGTGACAATACACGCGATACAGTCGATATATATTGAATTTATTCCATATTTTACAAACAATTTTGCAATTGTGCATATCGTCATAAAACAATTAAATATTGTATACGCTCGTCAATATTATACTAAAATAAAATGTTACATTAATATTTACTTTAAAAACTACGCGATAATTACTACAATATATAATTAGAATATTGAATTAAAAATATATATGTACTTGTAAAAATTTGCGTTAAAATTACTTGATGATTAATTCCTGACACACTACAATAATATATAATTCTGCCTGCGCAGAAGGTAGGTGCAGTATATAATTACAGTTTGAAATATTGTGATTAAAAATATAATGTATATTTACTGATAATGTTGGATACATCTTATACGCATCCAATAACATGGTTAGTCGATGTCTTACTGTATTTATTGTAAAAGAGGACCAAAAGTGTTTAATTTATCCCGATATGATAATCTGGGGCAGGTTGTTCGAAAAGCCGATTACCTTAACCCTAGGTTCACCTAAAATTCAAAGCAAATTTCCTGACAGCTTGTTTATAAATTTAGAAATATTTCTTCAGAAATCTTGTCTGGATCAGTAGGAGTTTTCTTCTCTGAAGTTTTGAAATAAACAGACGTGCAGAAATACATAAACTAAAACAGGAGGATACATTTTAAGTGCTAATCCAGCTTTGATCAACCGGCCCCTTGCTTAATAAACCATCTAGCCAAGGTATATATAGTGAGATCCATTACAGCAAAACCATTGTCTAAGTACTCTTGAGATCTGTCAATGTAAACCATCCTACAAACTGGTTATTAAAGTCATAATCTGACGGATCAATAAGCACGCCTCCCATCAGCTCATTCTCCGTCAAAACATCGTAATCCCATACTGTTATCCTGATCTCTCGTTGACGAAGTTCCTCTTCAGAAATGACCCAGACGAAGGTCTCGTTATAAGTTGGATTTAAAGTCCTCCGTGTAATCTTCGTTTTACGTTTTGTGGATTTACTGGGATCAGGGGTTAGGTAGATCTTCACGTACGGGTCGGAAAGACTCCCGGCGCTTTTTGGCAGCAAATCTCTAGCATGCATAATCATGATATTAAGTTGATAAGCTGCGAATGAGATGGAGACTTTCACCTCGCCGCCAATAGGCCTGTCTCGAGGGTATCTTTCTTCAGGGAGCAAGCGGGCAGCGTATTTCCTCACGTCAATGTCGTCTGATGGAAGAGAATGTAGGAAGGTGTAGATAAGTTTCGAAGAGCTTACGTCTTCAAGAGAGAGAAGTTCCTGGAGGTATCGGTCAAAATCTTGCCGACGTTTTTCTGCCACCATTCTGATCTGGGATCGACCAAGGTAGATTTTACCTAAAGGAAAGGAAGGTTATGGTAAAGTTTGGTATCTGAGAGGTGGTTTTGGTGTGGTATGTTATGTGGCATGGTTTAGTGTAGTGTGGTGGTTTGGTATGGTATGGTATGGTATGGTATGGTATGGTATGGTATGGTATGGTTAGGCATGGGACAGTAAGGTACAGCATGAAACAGTATGGTAGTGTATGGTATGGTATGGTATGACATAGTATGGTATGATGTCAAGTGGTTTGGTATGGTGGGATGGAACAGTAAGGTATGGTATGAAACAGTATGGTATGGTATGACAGTGTGGTGTGACATAGTGTGGTATGATGTCAAGTAGTTTGGTATGGAGCAGTAAGGTATAGTATAGTGTGGTATGTATGGTCTGTATGGTATGTATGGTGTGGTGTGGTGTAGCATGGTGTCCTTACACAAGACAAAACAAAATTCACCAACCTGGTAGTTTTGGCAAAGTCTGGTGAGGGAACTGGTCTGCAAGTTTGGCGTTGAACTCGTGAAAATAACTGTATCTTCGGAACACAAACGTAGGCTTGCTCTGGTCCTCACGACACACGTTAATGAGATACACATAATACTTTTCTGGTGTATAACGCTTCTGGTAATCTACCACCCTTGCTGACGTGATCTTACCATCTGTGCACGTGCTGTAGGTGTGCGGTGAGAAAGAGAGCACGGGCATGGCGGAGTCATCATCTTTCATTTGAGAGGAATGACGAAACTGAGCCATATTGTGGATAAAGAAATTCACTTGGGTAAACCTAAACAAATGGGATGATTATATTAAAAGTTTATCGTGAATCGAAATTCCGAGCGAAAACCACATACACGTTTCTGGACAAACTTTTCTGCTATTCACGTCAAACCGAAAGTTTTCAATTATTTTAGTTTAATGTAAAGCCCTCGGAAAACTAGGAAACATTCACATAGTTGCAGAGACATTGTTTCCCTAGCCATATTCCCGAAGATGGGCAAGTCAGGAAACATTGTTTACAAGAGAAAATCCCACTTGAAAAAGGGAAAATATGTTTCTGAATTTGTCGAGAAAATTTGCCTTCTGAGAAGAAATTTTGTTTTCGTTTCCACGGGTAAGCATGAGAACTTTAAAATATTTATGCAACAATATTATATATCGTGTCTTGCAAAAATGTCAATCTTGCGTTTACATACACACACCTCGATGCCAGGCTAGACTCGATCTGTCGGGTGAACATCGTAGTGGCTTCGAGATCCGTCGATTGCGGGAGTAACACATCGTACACATACTTTAGATCATTGGTCTGACTCAAATACGGTATCCCAGAGTTTAGCATCAGGGAGAGAAGATTAAGGAAGAGATTAGTATGATGGCGGATGATGTTGAACGCCCGACAACACAGGTCGACGAAATCTTGAAAGCGACTTGTCGGAGTGCATCCACCGTTGATGACGTAGGCCATGTCGGAAGTCAACACGAACGGCGAGCGGTCTCGGCGAAAGCTTCCAAACATTTGGGACCGACCAAGGAACTTGGAGAAATCGATGTGGAATAGATGACCTAGCAACGAAGAAAGAAAGTAAGTATGTAGGTAGGTAGGTACAGTAGGTACTGTAAGTAGGTGAGGGAAGGGTATAAGTTCTACTAGCATACCTGTTTTCTTAACCATGATATTATCGTTGTGACGATCGCATATACCAATGACATAAGTGGCCACACAATAGCCCGCACAAGAGGAGATGAAATTGTCGACTGCTTCGCCATATTCTTTCTCGATTGGATTATGTTTGAGTAACCACCTAGCTAGTGGCTCATCTTTGAACGAACCTGTAAGAGATACGAGATTCTTTTAGAAAACGAGCTCTAGACGATAAGAGGGCTAAAAGACAATCTGATGAATCCTAGCGGCTTCGGTTAAGGACACGATGAGAACAGAAGATGTGGGGTGGTAGACATTGCAGAGAAGGTGAGAGAAGCAAGGTTGAGATGGTATGAACACGTAATAAGAAGAGATGAAGGAGAGTTGGTCAGAGACATTATGGAATGAAGAGATCAGAAGATGTGTGGTGGTAGACATTGCAGAGAAGGTGAGAGAAGCAAGGTTGAGATGGTATGAACACGTAATAAGAAGAGATGAAGGAGAGTTGGTCAGAGACATTATGGAATGAAGAGATCAGAAGAAGATGTATGGTGGTAGACATTGCAGAGAGTTGGTCAGAGACATTCTGTGATATGGACAGCCTTGAAGGTGGCATTAAAACAATAAATGGGACAAGACCCGAGTATTTTTTAATATATAAACATTGTACAGTATTCAGTGACAAGCTAGCTATGGCAACTGGCTATGCTATGCTAATAAACCTGCATCTATTTGAATAATGCAGATATTAAAAACTTGCATAGCAGACCTGTTGCTATGGCTACCTTCACCACTGACAGTATTATAATTATACAAAAGCAAGAAGTTATAAGCATCGAAGATATTCATATAAAACTGCCCATGCCAGGAAAGAATTAAAACTTTTAGCAGACCTTCGACTTTGTGCAAGATGTTCAATGTTCAAATTGCATTTTTCCCACCTCTTGAACAGGTGTCTTAGGGGTTGTTTGCATGAATTGATGGCAGGATGATTTTGATGTATTAAAATATTAGTCACTAGGCTAAACGAAAGTTCAAATGCTGGTTAACAGAACTCAAATGTTGTAGAGAAGATCTTGTGGTTCAAGGAGGTTATTATGCTTGAACAACATTTCATTTACAGTTAATTATAATCCATCTCTTGAAAATAATGAAGATTTTTGCTGAATCATGCACCGTGATTTATTTAAGTGCATCAAAATCATCCTGCCTCATATCTCATCCTGGCAAAGTGGGATCATATAAACAGCCCTTATTCAGAAAATTGTGCATGCTGCCTTTGCCACAGAATAAGGTACACAGAAGGTCGACTCGAGTAACCGCTGCCAAGCCATGATTCATCATCAAAATGCTGACGCCAGTGCGCATTTGAGAGGCATCCCCCCTGGACGTCCACCATTTTGAATATTATCAGGGGGGTGAATGCCTCTCAAATGCGCACTGGCTAGGACCTTGGCGTCAGCATTTGATGACGAATTACGGGTTACGCCAAAATCAAACGAAAAACCAAGAAGTCGGCCTTCTGTGTTACTTTATTCTGTGCGGGGGTGAGGCAGCATTTTCCTTGCGATAGTAACTTCTAGTTAGCTTCAGTGCTTCCATTTTCAAAAAACGTAATTTCCTTCCAGCCGTTCAAAATTTCCTTATTTTTGAAAAAATTTCCTTGAATTTTTACCTAATTTAAAACTGATTTTATAGTAATTTATCTCGAATAACGGGGTTTTTCTTGTTCTAGAAAGAACATAGACGTTGCAGGGGCTGATTTATCAAAGGGGAGAGACAAAGAGTTTACCTAGATTAACACGAAGGAGAATAACCAGGAGGGCCCAGAAAATTTTCAGATTTTGCATCTCGCAGCACAGGATTTTCAGCATATTTTGAAGCGCATTTCCTTAGAAATTGCCGTATTCTTAGGATTTTTTAGAAATAAGGCAATTTCCTTCAATCTTCCGAAATTTCCTTCGAATTTCCTTATAATGCCCTTCAAAAAGGAAATTTCCTTCAAAATGGAAGCACTGGTTAGCCTGTGTTTATAGAGGCCCGTAAACGAACCCACAAAAATTTCTACAGAAGATTTGATTTAATAACCAAAGATTTTCAAGCGTATGTTACTAATGTTCGGCGTTACGTTTCTTGTTTATATCACAGTAAATTGCCATAAATATTACGGGACGTAGTGAGAAAGATGCAAGAACGCATGCGCTGTTTTAATATTCTTTGAGCTACAGTCTTTTTAATAACTGGTTGAGATTACCTTTCCCTCTACGCAAACATTCGCGTACTCCTTATGATAAATTCCATATTATGTCAATTTACCTCTTAATTTTTAAACTTTTTGTAAATCTATCATGCATAATCAATCAATCATGCGTAAAATCAGTCGTGCGTCAAATAAATTATGCGTGAAATGCTAATGATAGCAAACAAGTCCAAGTTTTAGAGGTTGCGCGTTGGACTTAATAGCAGATTTAGATCGAGGACGCGGACGTCAAAGACGACGTGGAAATGACGCCAAAATGACATGGCATATCCATACATGGGCACAACATGCCATTTTCACGTTGTCTTTGATGTTCGCGTTCTCGATCTAAATCTGACTATTATGGAATGAAGAGATCAGAAGATGTGTGGTGGTAGACATTGCAGAGAAGGTTAGAGAAGCAAGATTGAGATGGTATGAACACGTAATAAGAAGAGATGAAGGAGAGTTGGTCAGAGACATTATGGAATGAAGAGATCAGAAGATGTGGGGTGGTAGACATTGCAGAGAAGGTTAGAGAAGCAAGGTGAGATGGTATGGACACATAATAAGAAGAGATGAAGGAGAGCTGGTCAGAGATATTATGGAATGAAGAGATCAGAAGAAGATGTGGGGTCAGGAAAGCAAGACTTAGATGGTTAGCATCTAAATCGTTTCCTCAAGATTTCAAGAAATATCCAACCTGCAAGACCATATTCAGTCTGTATCTCCCGCAACGTCTGAGCATCTTGTACCAACTCCACCATTCCCATCTCAGAACCTGTTGGTAGACACCTGTATGTCACCATCTTGAGATCCAGACCTTCTTTTAACCATAACTTATTCATGATCCCAATCAACTGCATGGTCAACGCATCCTGCCGTAAGTCGTCACCAACTTTGTACATTGTATCAATTTTGAAACCATGTGTGTCAGAATTCTTGAATAGTAACCGAAGCGGGATGGAATTGGAATTAAAGTAGGAACATTCGTCCGCTAAGATTGCTGTCACTTCGACTCCGGGGTTGAGAGGAAGCCTCAAACGTTCTAGGGTTTCCTGTGGTATCTTCTCCAACTCACTCCGGAGCACTTCGTCTCGAACGTTTTCCTTCGATTTTTTCACCTTAGAAAGATAGAACATTGTTTTAATGCGCTATTAAAACACCAAGGGCGTGTTTAAATAATATGTACATCATTAAATCATGAAGTTACAAATACCTTTTCTGCAATTTCGGTGAGCCTCGTTACAAGTTCGTCTTGTTTCGTAAACTGGTCGCGTTGTAAGCTGCCACATACACTCAGTAGACCACCAAGTATCACCTGGTAACGCTGGCCAAATTGTGGGTCCGCGATGTTGTCTTTGAGATGCCAGAAAAGGTAGTGCACAAGACGGGAACTGCTTAGAGCTCTCTCAATCAGAAATCTGAAACAATGTGCGAAGACTATAAACTAAACTAACTTTATTTATAGTGGATAGCTCTATCAGTTCTAAACTGTTCTCCCTAGAGGTCCAGTGAGGACCATTTCTTATTGATCCAGTGTTACTACAGGAACAAACCTAAACTAAACTAACTTTATTTATACTGATTAGTTCTATCAGTTCTAAACTGTTCTTCCTAGAGGTCCAGTAAGGATCATCTCTTATTGATCCAGTGTTACTACAGGAGGAAACCTAAACTAAACTAACTTTATTTATACTGGATAGCTCTATCAGTTCTAAACTGTTCTCCCTAGAGATTCAGTAAGAATCATCTCTTATTGATCCAGTGTTACTACAGGAGGAAACCTAAACTAAACTAACTTTATTTATACTGGATAGCTCTATCAGTTCTAAAACTGTTCTTCCTAGAGGTCTAGTAAGGATCATCTCTTATTGATCCAGTGTTGCTACAGGAGGAAACCTAAACTAAACTAACTTTATTTACACTGGATAGCTCTATCAGTTCTAAACTGTTCTCCCTTGAGGTCCAGTAAGGATTATTTCTTATTGATCCAGTTACGACATTACCTTGCCAGAGGAGAGTTGTGATAAGTTTCATACTTCAAAGCTTGCACTAGTTGTGGCAGATAATCACACAACTCATCGTCGGAGAAGCATTCCATCCATTGCACGGCGGTCGCTCGCACCATCTGGTCTGGGAATTTAACCTTGAGCAACTCCATCGCATCCACGGGTGACATTGGTTTCCAGTTGGCCAGAAGTTGGTAGATCTCGGGCAGATTCTGGTACGTCCAGTCGGGAACACTCGATAATACCAAGGGTAACATACTCGGGATCTTAACAGTTAGATAGTTATTTTTGGCGACAAATGCAAGTAGTTCTTATATATAAGAAATACTGAGTATGGAATCAAGCAGAATCAGTTCTTAAGGGACGGACCATTAGAAAAGTGATGGGGGTGGGGTGGGTCAAAACAAAAGAAAAATGATTCCAAGAAAAAAATTAGGGAAAAAATCTTCCCAGGCATAGTGAAAAAAAAAATTCCTAGCTTGGAAGATAGGCCTGTAATTTGTACTTAAAAAAAATTTCCAGTCATCAAGTGAGAAAAAAAAATTACTTCTATAGGTGTACAAAAAAAATATATTGCCTCTTAGAAAATCCCCTCCAATCACTTTTCTAATGGTCCGTCCCTAACTTGTTCTAATTTGTACAAAAGTAATTGTCACTGGTTTAGTGTTTTGAATTGTATTTTAATAAATATACCAGAGTTCAAAGCTTCTAAATTTGATGGAATTTATCGTCGTTGAGTGCTAAACAAGAGATTATATTTTTTGGATACGCACTTGTGTTAAATTAGATACCGTATGTAGCAGCTTGTAACTGACTTTAGACTTAGTTAAAGTACTGTACGTCTTAAGAACCAGCTAGACTACTTATCAAACGAAAGTGGTTCTTGTATTTTAGATGTTTAATTAATTGCCTAAATTTCAGGCTGATGGCTCATAATCTAGTGCCTGTGGTGTTTTGAGTACTATTTAAAACATGAGCATCGGTGTTTTATCAGATATAAAGATACGAGGCGAAGCCGAGTATCTTTAGATCTGATAAAACACGCACTGCGAATTCTGAGTATCTTTAGGTCTGATAAAACACGCACTTCAAAAACGATCGATCTAGTAATTTCATTAGCGAAGTAATTTTCAAAAAAATACGTTGTGTAATTATAAGTTGAGAAAATCAAAGTTTATGTAAATCAAGGGAAATCTCTATCACATATAAAGCTACGACACGCTTATGATTTTTCTTTGTGTTTTCCTCACGAATTATTGAGTTTTTGAATGTACATATATATACACATATATATTTACCTGGGACGCGATATAACGGTTTTGCCAAATCATGTGAATATCCTCGGGTCTGAGATCTTCAAACATATCTTTGGAGAGGAATTTGTTAAACATCTCTGTTGGTGTAACTTCGGACGTATCCGTTTCAGCTTCGGGAATCTTCAACGCGGGAAACACGATGTCAGATAGATGGCGAGTAAAATCCACTTGCAGTATGGCGCTGCGTTTGTCGATCAAATTCGAGGTACATGCTCCTAACGGATTGGCAGCTTGGTTCGGCCAAAGGCCAAAGAGTAGACTACCCGTGACCAATACGCCATTGAAATCAAACAACTGCACAGCAGTCCATCCTAAAGGAGTCCGCGCGGGCGACAGTGTGCCGTTCTTTGCTTGAGGGGATAGCCCGTACAGGGTTAGACATAGCTTCGACTCACGGGGTAGTTTACGAATCTCAATTCCAAACTCCATATAACATTGCCAGGATATCTGTGCGAAGAAGTTTGTCCGAATCTCACCAAGAAGCGTGTATTCTGGAACGGTCAATAAATGCCCACCATGATAAATCTTTCCTTCGACAATGTAGCTTTCGAATTTTTCTTTCCATTCCGGGGGGATACGATACGCGGCCGGGATGTAGACGCTGAATTTATCCGTCATCGCTGTCACCTCTATCGAGCCGTTGATAATCTTCTCGCTGATACGAATTCTTCCAAAGTCCGTGTTGAAGGTATTACAGTATAACTCTATCAGTAGATAGACATGCTTGAAGATATTTTGAAGAAGGTTGCGAAGTTCAACCAGGTCTACAGTGACACTCCTAGGCGAGCCCTGACAAGCTTCGTCGTATCGCCCCTTCATCTCCTTAAGCGAGTACACAGAATTCACAATTCCTTTGGTCTCAATCTGTCCCAGCGTGGTACAAACAGCTCGGACACTTTGAACCAACCGTCCGGGCTGGAAACGCGGGTTCTGGCTGTCTGCGTCATGTAGGACACGTTTCAATTCTTCTTCAAAGGCTTCGCGAAGGACGCTGAGTCCCTCGCGGGAAACGGACGTGTCCAGCGGACGGTCAAAGAACTGGCTATATATTCGCGGTTCACAGTCGGCTATGTCGTCCATTTGGCTTCGAGCTAATGTCCTTGGGACTTCATCACTGTCGAGTAAAGCAAGTTTAATATTCTCCCTCGCCATAACACACTGGTGAACGTACTCGTACTCGCAAAGTAACTTCGAGCTGCTTAAATACTCTTCAAAGCCACAAACCTTCAAAGTAAAAGCACTATCGATAATAGTGTTCGGGTTCACGTCTTTTTTCCAAACTGTTTCAAGTACTTGCACTATGACTTCGCTAATTTGTGTCTTTGAGCTTACCGAGAAGAGGAGAACAGGCGACTCCTGGCCTTTGACGAAGATTTGCAAAGACAAAAGCACTTCTTCCAAAGTTTCTGCCAAACTGTTTGAGTTTTGTGTAACCGTTGGGCTGAGCAAATAGCCAAGGTTTAATTCAACCTTGCCACACAATTTCGAGCGAAGTTCACCCAGGACAGTGCTGAATGCCACTGCTTCTTCGTTTCGTTCCTCTGTAAAGTCAAAAAGACCATCTCCAAAAAACACAAAGCCGGGTTCTATGGGCTGTTTTCCATTTTGACTGCCTGGTGAACGGACCTCGGGGAGTTTTGTGGAGAACAGGGTTGACACTCTGGACGTGGGTGACCGAAGGAACTTTATTTCCCGACCTGAACTTCCAGCGATGCTTATATGTTTCGGGCGGCTTGGGGTGGACCTGCTTTCCGACTGTCGGCGCAACTCACCAAGATCAACTGTCAGTCGTTTTGAAGCATCGTCCTGAGCTGTTGAAAAGTTCTTATGCTCATGGACAAAACTTTGTGAAATACTTTTTGGTGCACTCTTGATATGCTTGGATAAGCTATTGTGGTTGTGGGCTAAGGTTGAATCATTTGTTGTCATATCATTAAGTCTCTCATCAACAGAGTTGACATCTTTACTGGGTTTGTCATCGGGCAGTGTGGCAGATTCATCAAAGTCATCTTCCCAGACAACCCCGCTAACATCATACCTCAACTGAACATAACCTTTTAGGCTGTCTGTTTCATCAAGTGCCACAATTTTCCCGTCATCTTCGCTTGTCTTTTGAGCGAGATTTTCAGTGATGGAATAGGATCTTATTATCTCATGTCGTAACACGACAGAGTCGTTTCGGGAACGGACCTCGTTTTCCTCTCGTAGTTCCTCCTCGAGCTCGTCCTCGCTCAGAGCATGGTAACGAGGTGACGAAACTCTTGATTCGCTTGTTAGAGGTATAACCTCCCGTTTAACTGCTGACCAGTTGGGGTCTGAGACTGTAGGCTCAATGTTGCTTGGAGTAATATCACCTTCCACTGCTGGCCAATTAATATCTGACACTGCAGGCTCAATTTTGCCTGGCAAGGAATTAACATTGCCTTGGGCAGGTGGCCAGTTAACATCTGAGAAAGCAGGCTCAATGTCAGGCATTGGAGAAGCTTCATCGGGTGAGAAAGTATGCTCTACTTCAGGTTTATTTGCAGCGTTTGAGTTTCTCGACGTTAATGTAGCCTTTGAACCGATATCTACTGATCCTAGACTACCCTTTGTATCACCAAAAGTCGATTGTGCAACTGCCAAATCTAAAGATTGTTTTACAGTGTGCAAAATATCTGCAAATGGATCACTACTCTTATTACCAGTATTGGCGCTTTTACTTCTGTTAACTTTCAACGATTTTGATTTGTTTACATCTCTTGCTGTTAACAAGGTTCCCCTGTGTACTCCGATGGTCGAATATGGACGTTGCTTGCTTGCCTTCCCTCTGTCAGTCCGTTGTTCATTTTTAAGTTGACTTGAAAATTTACTGAGAATATTAGTTTCAGATAATGAACGTCGAATGTTCTTGTGTGTTTGATCGAGTACTCTTATAGATGAGTATTTGTCCTTATCTGATGGAGCCAAATAATTATCACGGTTGGACGGTTGTGGATCACTTGAATAAAACATTATGATTGATCTTTCTATGTATTATCCAGACATAAACAAACAATCGCTTATATTGGCATTAATTCGGTTATATTATTCACAGTTTTAACGATGTGTTTATTGCAAGCATTAATCTTTGAAGAATCATCATTTTGGAGCAGGAAATTACAGCTCTTAATCTTCAAGATCGCGTTTTATTAGCCAGAACGTTTGAGATGAACACTATCTTATACGATTCTGCAAAAAATATAAGACGTGACCGATCAGATTACATAATCATTTCTATTCCGATTTCCAAGACTTTGTATATAATACACGAATCTAAAATGCTACAAACATACCCCGATTTATACAGTTTGTCCCATGCAAACAATCTACAGTACAGATCTGACCATTTCTTGAAATTTATAGGGTTAAATCTTTATACCAGCCGTAGGTGACAATCTGATTGTTTATATCAAATTCAAGACCGAACGTATGCCATATAAATGCTTTGACCAAATCGTTAATCAAATATCACCAAACATGTCAATCGTAAATATATAAAGCTTAGCATCTGATCTTGATATTGTACAAGGAAATCCAAACTTCAAAGAGACAAAACTCCTTTCGATTCCTAAAGAAAAACGTTATTTTTTCCCTCTTTTGTCTGAGGTTTTTTATTACAAAAATTTACATTTTTGTTTCCAAACAACAATGCGAGCCCGCGTATTTCGAACAATTCCTCTCAAATCGTGATGTTATTAGCACGAACGACATGTGTTTCAAGAACTCTATATTTTAGATGTCAACTTGGTCCCGAAAAGCTTTTCAATTTTTGATATTTTTTATTTTTAAAGCAACTAATACTTGTGTTTTTAAATGAGTACGTATTCTTGGAGTTATAGGACGGCTGTTCATCGTCAAGTTTCTGCCAAACGGGTGAAAACGGACCAGGAAAGTCCTGACAAAAATGAAGTTTGTCAAATTGAAAGTGACAAGGTTGTTTTGCATAGTTCAAGTTCACAAAACAATGATGCGGCGGGCATTGTCACACCTAAAAGACGTAAGGGAAATGAAACAATTTTATGCAAATTATGTTATATTTTGATTTATTTGTAGATGGTCTGCATTAATAACATTCTCCTATTTAATAATGTAGTAATATTTTATATCACATAATTGTTGGTTTAAGTATGTTTGCTTAGGTAAATATTTTTTGGTTTCTATTTGTAGTTCATTGGAGAGCCAAAATTTATTTTGGGAATTTAAACAAAAAAACCAATGAAGGTATAGTGTGGTATACATGGTATGGAATGGTATATGGAATGGTATATGGTATGGTATGATATGGAATGGTATGGAATGGAATGGAATGGAATGGTATGGAATGGTATGGAATGGTATGGAATGGTATGGAATGGTATGGTATGGAATGGAATGGAATGGTATGGTATGGAATGGAATGGAATGGTATGGTATGGTATGGTATGGTATGGAATGGAATGGAATGGTATGGAATGGAATGGTATGGTATGGTATGGTATGGTATGGTATGGAATGGTATGGTATGGTATGGTATGGAATGGTATGGTATGGTATGGTATGGAATGGAATGGAATGGTATGGTATGGTATGGTATGGTATGGTATGGAATGGAATGGTATGGAATGGAATGGTATGGTATATGGTATGGAATGGTATATGGTGTGGTATGGTATAGTGTGGCATGGTATGGTGTTTTATAAAATAACATGTATATAACGCGTGTTCTGATTGGTCGAAACCCGTGTTTGGATCAGGCCATCCAAACACGGAAAACTATCGTGTTGTTGTTATTTTATAAAACAATTACTTTATGGTTTCCGTGTTTGGATGGAATGATCCAAACACTTGGGAATGTTGCTCGAGTTAAGAAAAGCGCGCATTCCCGCGTGTTTGGATCAGGCCATCCAAACACGGAAACCATAAAGTAATTGTATAGTATGGTATGGTGTGGAATGGTATGGTATGGTATAGTGTGGCATGGTATGGTATGGAATGGTATGGTATGGAATGGTATGGTATGGTATGGTATGGAATGGTATGGAATGGTATGGTATATGGTATATGGTATGGAATGGTATATGGTATGGAATGGTATATGGTATGGTATGGTATGGTATAGTGTGGCATGGTATGGTGTTGTATGGTATGGTATGGTATGGTATGGAATGGTATGGTATGGTATGGTATGGTATGGTATAGTGTGGCATGGTATGGTGTTGTATGGTGTTGTATGGTATGGTATGGAATGGTATGGTATGGTATGGTATGGTATAGTGTGGTATGGTATGGTGTTGTATGGTATGGTGTTGTATGGTATAGTGTGGTATGGTATGGTGTCGTATGGTATAGTATGGTGTGGTATTGTATGGTGTCATATGGTTTTGTGTGGTATGGTATGGTGTTGTATGGTATAGTGTGGTATGGTGTTGTATGGTATGGTGTTGTATGGTATGGTGTCATATGGTATGGTGTGGTATGGTATGGTGTTGTATGGTATAGTGTTGTATGGTATAGTGTGGTATGGTGTCGTATGCTATAGTGTGATATGGTATTGTGTGGTATGGTATGGTGTTGTATGATGTAGTGTGGTATGGTATGATGTGGTATGATGTGGTATGTATGTATAGGTATATATGATATAGTGTGGTATGGTAATGGTTTGGCAATGATATGGTATAATGTGATGACTTAAAATAGATAAGTTTCTATGTTTTTTTAGCATCTTTGGCATATTATTTCTCAGTATTTGGTGATATAGAAGACGTCAAGGTCAAATACAATATTCATTTATCAATTTTTACATACTATTTATTATATTTTAAAGCTATGAATTGAAACATTTACTTGGCTTTTATTTTTTGCCACAGCTTATTCGAGACCATGACACAAAAGAGTCGAGAGGATTTGCATTCATAACATTTGAAAAAATAGAGGCAGGTAATGACCAATTGGTGCATTGGGTCATTCAAAAAAACATCCATACCTCCCCCACAGACGAAATTGTAACTGAGGGTAGGGACCCTCTTCGGATGCCCTAACACACTTACTATCGTCAGAAATCTTTCTCCCCTCCATTTCCACACTGCAGAAATTTCCTCCTTGGGGGCAGGGTGGATCTTTCATGCAACAACCATTTTAATTTGTCAACTGACATGTTTTGAGATATTTGATGCTATAGAATCTTGTTTTAATTCATGTTAATTTGTTGTATTTCAGCTGAAAAGGCCAAAAAATGGTGTTCATTTAATTATCCAGTAAGTGGTACTGTAAAACATAGAGCGCCAGCGCTTTCCCTTTGACGAGTAAAATTGTCTGATGTTACACAGAGTGAAATAATAAAGTAGCGAGCATTATAGGGTGCATTGCAACTCAATGGGTTAATGTCTCTTCAATATGCGGTTGTCTGATTAAAATCATTTCACATTATTTAAATCTGAGTTGCCAAGAGTTTCAATGTTTCAAATGAAGGCACTTCGCTTGCATCTGGTATTTTTGACACAGCCCATTTGAGTCCTTCTGGGCACTCTGGTTTCTCCTGTTGTAATAACACTGTGTTTAGAACTGAGACAGCTTATATTATATTTCCTGCATTTACAGAGTTTAGATGATAACAACATCACTGTTGCAAGCGCCGAAAGAAAGACTCACAAGGTTAGACTGGCAATTCATACAGTATTTCTGCTTCAACCACTCTGCATGTCAGTGGCGAAGCCAGCCCGACAATTTGGTCATGCTATGCAAATATTTCCGTGTTCATAGGCCGTGAAAAGAATCGATTTCTAAAGAAAAGAATAATGATAATTTATGATTTATAATTTGCACCACTTATACAAAAAACAGAAGCAGGGTAGATCGTTTCGTGTCAGTGGAATAGTGGAAAATATGGAATAGTCTACCTGTTCCAATAAGAAAATCTGTAAATCTTAGATTTTTAAATGATGCAATACTAAGACACCACTTAGCACGGTACGAACACATTGATAATTACGAAGCTTTGTTCTTTATAGATAATTATTCTATTGTATTAACTTTAGACTTAGAAAATAACGTTTTTAATATTAGTAAGTAGGCGAGCTAGCGTTAACCAGTTAATTACTAACGATTTTATATATATATAGTCTAATTTGTATGTAAATTTGAGGGCCATAGATTTCTTAGCTTTGCTGTTATGTGTAATCCTCGTAAAATAAAGTTTTCATTCATTCGTTCATTCATATATTCATCTCTTTGTTGCCAAGAATAATTTTGCTTTGCTTATCTTCTGTACTTTTTCTTTCAGATCAAAATTTCCAAAAAAGACGAAAGAGCAAAACGGCACCCGTCCCAAACCCTGTTTTGGGAGTTCAAGTGGACAGACACTAATGAGGCTCAGGTAATATCGAATAATTTTACTGCAGAACATGACAAGTTACAGTTCAGACAGTTCTAAAGAATGCGCATTTCTTCACCACTTCTGTACACTGCTACTTCAAAACCCCTGAGAGACGGACCTGAAACAAGTCTTAACTCTGGTTTACACTATCAAAGTTTCTGTGATCACAGTAGGAATTTTGCATAGGTAAATTTTAAGTTTTGAAGGATTTGTAAGAAATGTTTGAGAGAACTAACTTGGCGTTAAACACTGAGTTAGTTTCCTCAAACATTTCTTACAAATCCTTCAAAACTTAGAATTTACCTATGCAAAATTTCTACTGTGATCACAGAAACTTTAGCAAGATAGCATTAACTCTATGCTGTGCACAGGATGAGAATATATTTGACGGTAATTAAAAATTAAAAATGTTGATTCTTCCTCAGGTTTATGGTCCATATGAGACAAGTTTAATGCAAGCATGGAAAAATCAGGTTAGTAGCAGCCTAACAGGTTATTTTAGAGAGAAAGATAGAAAAACTTTATTTAGACACGCCGTCCATGTCAATAAATGCTGATTTCCATGTGGGCCGATATTTTGTATAATCATGATGAATGTAATAAAAATATCGCCGTATTTGATAACCAGAACGTATGAAGCGAGATACACAGTTCTTTATTGACAACGATAGCAAAGTTGTTTTAAATGAAACATAGTTGTTAAACAAAACTGTTTATACGTGCTATAGTCAAAATGGCGGTGATCACCTTTTTGTAGAAACTTAGTAGAGATATTCCGAAGAGAAACACAATCTTGTAATTTAATTGATGAAAATAAGTCTAGCTAGCAAGTCTAGGGAGTCTTAAAGTTATCCAAATTAATTAGTGTATATTGGTTAGATAGCAACAGAACTGAGCTCTGTAACCAAATTATAATGTATCACTACTTTCATTCTTCAACAAGACAACTTGAAGATTTAAGATGGCAAATGACTAAATCAGTTCTATGAAAGAGTACATCGTTTTCCAAAATAGCCAGGCTATAAAGTTGAGCAGGTTGAGGAAAAAGAACTTTGTTTGAAAGCTTAGAGTGCAGGAAGGAGAGCAGAATTGATATTTTAATCTCGTGGTACCCACTGCCTGCCCACTAATTTCAAAACAAATAGATTGCGTATTACTGAAAAGAATTCTCGAAACCGTTAGTTTCCAGCCGAAGGGAGTACCTAGAACAGAGTTTATATTGTGTTCAAACTTTCAGGGGTATTTCGATCGCGGGTGTTGGGTAAGGCAAGTTCTTCATCGTCAGATCAGCCGTGCTGGAGAAAAACACGAAGTTCAAGCAAACACTTCTGAAGTAACTCGCGCTGAAGATCTACAAAATGCCGCTAACGTGAACACTTTTGAAGGAAATTCAAAAGATGAAAGCTGCGAGGCTAGGCCTTGTAAGAAACCAAAGTTGGTGATTGAATATTCAGATTCAGAGGATGAAGGCGATCATGATGATGATGAAGAATGTGGTGATGATAAAGAAGAATGTCGTGATGATGAAGAAGGATGTGGTGATGATGATGAAAAAGAATGTGGTGGGATTTCAGATGCAGATGGAAGATCCGCTAATATTTTACCACGTTATGAAAGTGAACATTTAAAACTGAAAATTAAGGAAAATGAACATTTACAACTTCATGAAAGTAAAGATAAACTTGATTCCGTAGTGGAAGTGAAACAGGATGAAAGAACGAGTAGTAGTGAACAATACGAAGGTGAACATCTACGACTGTCTGAAAATGAGAAACAAGACAATTCTAGTTTAAGCAAAGAACATTTACAACCGAGTGAAAGTGATCTGTTGACATTCAAAATGAAGCAGAGAGATGGTGAAAGTTTAGGACTAGCAAATGATGAAGGGAAAAAAGGTGTTGTAAACGAAACAACACTGAAACATATTGACAGAGAGAATGGAGAATCTGTCAGGGAAGAAATACATGCCGTAAAGATGCATAATAACATTTTGGAACAACACGAACATCAGGTTCAAACACAAGAAGTAAGTCAACAAAAACAAAATACAAGCAGCGAGGATAATTTACGTTCTGGTGCCCATGAGCAATCAATCCCCAACAAGGTGGGAGAGAACTTGGATATTTTGCAGATGTATGAACAAGGATCTTCAGTTCTGTCAGAATATGATGAACGCGATGAACGATTGATCAATGACGAGGATTTAAGACGAAGTGATGATTCAAGCAGCGGGGAGGAAGACATTGAAAACGATGATGATGATGATATTTCTACCGAATTTGTTGCAATATCAGAAATTGATTTTAATTTTTATCCATGAAATAATTAAATACTCTACTGTCTCCTGTGATTGACAACACAGACAGATAACTATATAGATGGCTTTTACTCACAATCCTGCAGTCGATGGTGGTCAAGCAGTATCATCATCATGAGAAAATAATGGTCATGAGCATGTTAGGAACAACCAGACTGAACTTTCGCTCAATACATAAGAACGGTGTAATAGAGAAAGTAATATTTTAGGAACTACGAAGTACATAAATACATAAACCGTAGCAAGGGTTTTTCCAGGACTTTTTGTGGCCATTAAACGGAGCCAAAAACTCAATATCGAATGTCACCATGTCGTCGAAATGTCCAAAAACGGACGCATAAAAAGTCCCGAAAAACCCCTGATATAAATACATAATACCGTAGGCTTCTATTCAACTACCTGTATACTTATTCATGTGTGTTTATAATTTACAGCACGTGACAGTCCCGGAGACATGCACGTGTTCAGTTAAGGTGACAGTGCTGGCATTTTGTAAGTCGCGTGACGTACGATCACCTTTACTCAGCTTGCACTGCATCTGTTGTTTGAGTTCTTGCGCGAGAGTCTCGAATGTAAGATTCACATTATCAGCCTCCTTTGCGGACGCCTCGATAAAAATCATCTCTTCAAATTCCGCCAGAGCTTTTCCAGACGCACATGGTACTTCGCGCTCGCATAAGTCGTTCTTGTTTCCAACTAAAACTTTTATGATATTTTTCTTGCGCGTATGTTTCTTAACGTCGGCTAGCCATTGTGGAATTGATGCAAAACTTTTCTTATCGCTCAAATCGTAGACTAAAACAACCGCGTCCGCTTGCCCGTAGTAACTTCTTGTCAGGGATTTAAATGTCTCCATTCCTGCTGTATCCCAGCATTGTAGTTTAATCTTCTCACCATCAATTTCCAAACTTTTCACACAAAAGTCCACGCCGATCGTTGAGCCGATTGTTTCCGAGAAATATCCCTTCGTGAATCGACGTATCAGCGAGGTTTTTCCGACCCCCGAGTTTCCAACTAAGAGAATTTTAAAGATATAATCATAGTTCATGGTCGGATTAAGAGGTAATAATCGGGTTAGGATTATTTCACAACATGAGACAATAATTCCTGTTATCAACAAAACGTTTGCGATTTGAACGTTCGAATTAGTTCTGAATATCTTTTAAAACATCAGACAAAATGTTTGTTGTGATGAAATATGGTGATCTTAAACCTTCAAACATCGAATGCTTTCACGTTATTGTGAGTTTTTTCTGGGGCTGGAAGGATATTGAGACTTTAGTATTGTGTTGACTGTTGAGTTCGTCTTCCTAGCTAAAAGAATTGATCTATCTTTCTCTTTTGAGACAGCAACGTGTGCAAAGTACTTTCAGTTTCACTTACGAGTTACCTAGTTCCAAAGTTTATTGTTGATTGTTTTTTAAGTCTACTTAAGTGTATTTCCCATTAGCAGACGGACTTTCCCTTGTCTGAGAGTTTTTTTTTTTCTGTGGTCTAAAATAACCTTGTCCTTGAGTTTTGACTCTTGAACTGTTGGACTGAACCTTTTAGGGCATTTCGGCTCTCGTGTATATTTCGTCGTATAGTTGGGCAGGTTGACTTGAATATGATCTTTGATTTCAGATGTCTCCTCAAATACTATTAGTATATCTTTGCATAACGAGGAGGACAGGTTGTTCAAACTTTCTTGTCGTACCTTTTGCCTTGCAGTACAGTCTCGAATAATGAATTTATGCTTGGATCTTTGCTACAGTGACTTTTCAGTACACAAGCACTTCACAGTTATTTTGGGAATTCTCCTGAAATATACTGTGTTTTGGAGAGGAAGCCGCTCTATTTTCCCAACTGTCTTGAGCCTTGTTGTAAGATTCTCGTCTGCTTGACTCGAATAATGAATTGACCCTTGGAATTTTATCTCTGACTTTCGCTTTGCAGTGATATCTTTAATATAATATTATGATATCCAACCTTCAAATTTTCCAAACCAAATACTTTATTTCGTTTTCTTGGATTGCTGTTGATAGATCACACATAATCTTGTTACTTCAACGTAGCACCGTTTCAGTATTTTTATTCCCCAACAGACTAAAATACGGACTTAAATTTGCAGCAATATGTCATAAGGTGCTCGCACATTAAACAATGTCGAGAAAAAACAAGATTTGTATAAAATATTAATAAGTGAACAAATTTAGCCGCAGTTTCTGCTTAACTGTTGCAAGAAAACATGAAAAGTCGTTTCTGGTTAACCGCCAATTAAATGAACGCCTTAATGAGACCACTAGGTGCAGTTTGGAACAATATGTTATTGTGAGACTAAAACTTTGTCTTTTATATAACTCTGTAATGCACAATGCATCCCTACAGAGAACCTAAAGCTGCACACGTGTCTCAAACAATAGCATTTTGTGATTAAGCCATTAAAAAATAATCTTTGGAAATATTTAGATCATTTTTGGCAAGCCATAGCCACGGCGCATGCGCAAATGTAGTCAAGCAAAAGGCGGGAAAATACGGCCATCTTAGTGGTGGGTTTTGGGGGGCATTATGCAACTTTGATTTGCAAAGCTTTATAAAATTTCATTTTGCATTGAAATTAAAAATGCAATAAAAAAGTAAATTAGCCTCAAGTCATCACTGCGCATGTCTGCCCACACGATGCTCCCACATGCGTTGTGGTAAAACGGACATATAAATACTGATTTCAATATTTGTTCGGTAGCTTTGCGCAGTGGCATTATCGTAGCCGATGAGGTTCATCCGAGGCGCGATTATTGCTGATTGAAAACTTATACCAATACCCCGCCAGACGGCCTATATGGCCGGATGTGCAATTTTTCTTGGTCCTTCATTGGACCGATTTACCCATTCAAATTGAAAAAAACAGGTACTCTTAGCGTACACCAGTCAATTACTCTGTAAATGACCACATATAATTGCCACTTTACTATGATGTAGATCAGTACGAGTTGCAATTACAGTCAGTTAAAAATAAGCTAGCTAGAATTAGTTTTATCGAATGGATGCCCCAAATCCTGATTTAAAGCGAATACAAATCTTTATTTTTAGTTCAATATATTGCAGATATACATATATTTTGATGCAAAATTGTCATAAAACATGAAAAACTCTATATACAATGCCAGTAATGTGGCGTGTTTATATATTTCAGTTCACATTTTTCTTATCTTTTAATGCTTTGTGAGATATAAATCATGAGCCGATTGTACGAAGGCCGCATATAGTGATTTTTTTCAACCGTTGTAAAATGATTGAAAAGTGATAAAACTAGGAAAGTGGATCCCACAAGTAATAAAGAGAAACTTTTATATACTAAAGATTAGTTTGGACTGTACCAGTCAACGACCAATTTATGAAAACTTGAAAAATCACCGTCCGGTGGATAGCGCTATACGGCTTTCGTACAACAGCTCCCAGGATTAATTCATCCCCATCCCGAATAATAACCTACTTAGTATATTATAGGTCAAGACATATTCGGACACTCCATATTGTACCGTGTTTTTTTGTTCAAGTATTCTTTACACAACTGTCTTTTGGAGTTGTCTTCCAGAACGAAGAAAAGCTGTTTACCTAACACTTCTTACTCCAGTAAATAATGAACACCTCTCACAAGCAGACACCCTTTTTAGCGGGCATACATCTTTGCAGCCGGTTGTATAAAAAGTAGTTAAGGCTAACTATAGTTCGTGGAAAAGTTAACCAATCAGAATTGTGCATTTGTGAATTAACTACGAGTAGTTAAAAAGTAGTTACGAGTTTTGTAGTTATGCTTTTTTGTAGCAGAAATTTCCAGCAGAAGATTATATACAATTTTAGCCCTCTGACAGGAATCCAACCTGCGATTCCGGTGCAGCGTTCTAACCAACTGAGCTACAGAGAGACAGTTGTCGAGCTCTAACCAACTGAGCTACAGAGAGACAGTTGTCGAGCTCTAACCAACTGAGCTACAGAGAGACAGTTGTCGAGCTATAACCAACTGAGCTACAGAGAGACAGTTGTCGAGCTCTAACCAACTGAGCTACAGAGAGACAGTTGTCAAGTTCTAACCAACTGAGCTACAGAGAGACAGTTGTCAAGTTCTAACCAACTGAGCTACAAAGAGACAGTTGTCGAGCTTTAACCAAATGAGCTACAGAGAGACAGTTGTCGAGCTCTAACCAACTGAGCTACAGAGAGACAGTTGTCGAGCTCTAACCAACTGAGCTACAGAGAGACAGTTGTCAAGCTCTAACCAACTGAGCTACAGAGAGACAGTTGTCGAGCTCTAACCAACTGAGCTACAGAGAGACAGTTGTCAAGTTCTAACCAACTGAGCTACAGAGAGACAGTTGTCAAGCTCTAACCAACTGAGCTACAGAGAGACAGTTGTCGAGCTCTAACCAACTGAGCTACAGAGAGACAGTTGTCGAGCTCTAACCAACTGAGCTACAGAGAGACAGTTGTCGAGCTCTAACCAACTGAGCTACGGAGAGACAGTTGTCAAGCTCTAACCAACTGAGCTACAGAGAGACAGTTGTCAAGCTCTAACCAACTGAGCTACAGAGAGACAGTTGTCAAGCTCTAACCAACTGAGCTACAGAGAGACAGTTGTCGAGCTCTAACCAACTGAGCTACAGAGAGACAGTTGTCGAGCTCTAACCAACTGAGCTACAGAGAGACAGTTGTAGAGCTCTAACCAACTGAGCTACAGAGAGACAGTTGTCGAGCTCTAACCAACTGAGCTACAGAGAGACAGTTGTCGAGCTCTAACCAACTGAGCTACAGAGAGACAGTTGTCGAGCTCTAACCAACTGAGCTACAGAGAGACAGTTGTCGAGCTCTAACCAACTGAGTTACAGAGAGACAGTCGTCGAGCTCTAACCAACTGAGCTACAGAGAGACAGTTGTCAAGCTCTAACCAACTGAGCTACAGAGAGACAGTTGTCGAGCTCTAACCAACTGAGCTACAGAGAGACAGTTGTCGAGCTCTAACCAACTGAGCTACAGAGAGACAGTTGTCGAGCTCTAACCAACTGAGCTACAGAGAGACAGTTGTCGAGCTCTAACCAACTGAGCTACAGAGACAGTTGTCGAGCTCTAACCAACTGAGCTACAGAGAGACAGTTGTCGAGCTCTAACCAACTGAGCTACAGAGAGACAGTTGTCGAGCTCTAACCAACTGAGCTACAGAGAGACAGTTGTCGAGCTCTAACCAACTGAGCTACAGAGAGACAGTTGTCGAGCTCTAACCAACTGAGCTACAGAGAGACAGTTGTCGAGCTCTAACCAACTGAGCTACAGAGAGACAGTTGTCGAGCTCTAACCAACTGAGCTACAGAGAGACAGTTGTCGAGCTCTAACCAACTGAGCTACAGAGAGACAGTTGTCGAGCTCTAACCAACTGAGCTACAGAGAGACAGTTGTCAAGCTCTAACCAACTGAGCTACAGAGAGACAGTTTTCAAGCTCTAACCAACTGAGCTACAGAGAGACAGTTGTCAAGCTCTAACCAACTGAACTACAGAGAGACAGTTTTCAAGCTCTAACCAACTGAGCTACAGAGAGACAGTTGTCGAGCTCTAACCAACTGAGGTACAGAGAGACAGTTGTCGAGCTCTAACCAACTGAGCTACAGAGAGACAGTTGTCGAGCTCTAACCAACTGAACTACAGAGAGACAGTTGTCGAGCTCTAACCAACTGAGCTACAGAGAGACAGTTGTCGAGCTCTAACCAACTGAGCTACAGAGAGACAGTTGTCGAGCTCTAACCAACTGAGCTACAGAGAGACAGTTGTCGAGCTCTAACCAACTGAGCTACAGAGAGACAGTTGTCGAGCTCTAACCAACTGAGCTACAGAGAGACAGTTGTCGAGCTCTAACCAACTGAGCTACAGAGAGACAGTTGTCGAGCTCTAACCAACTGAGCTAGAGAGAGACAGTTGTTGAGCTCTAACCAACTGAGCTAGAGAGAGACAGTTGTCGAGCTCTAACCAACTGAGCTACAGAGAGACAGTTGTCGAGCTCTAACCAACTGAGCTACAGAGAGACAGTTGTCCAGCTCTAACCAACTGAGCTACAGAGAGACAGTTGTCGAGCTCTAACCAACTGAGCTACAGAGAGACAGTTGTCCAGCTCTAACCAACTGAGCTACAGAGAGACAGTTGTCGAGCTCTAACCAACTGAGCTACAGAGAGACAGTTGTCAAGCTCTAACCAACTGAGCTACAGAGAGACAGTTGTCGAGCTCTAATCACAAGTTTACTCTGGACAACCCTTCCACGATCCTCGATAATATTCCCTTGATCC